ACTTGTAAATGCAGAAGAGGATAGAGAGAATACAACCAGTTGATAATGGTCAACAAAAAAAAAAAGAGGAGGAGAAGAAAAAAAAATTATCGATATATTAACATTTATTGAGATGATGTAGCACTTAGCACATTATATATGGGAGTCGGAATGTATCCTTAGGGTGCTGTTAGTAAGTATTTATATATGAATGAACATAACTAAGGAAAAAGAATTATATTTAAAGTACTGATATTGTTCATAGTCGTTATTTATAAATTTTATTCGATCAATTTTCGAGTGTTTTGCTGTTATCGATAGTCGATTGAGAAATTTACTATTCTGACGCATACTCATGCTATGATACCATGTCTTTTGGAGTGTTTTTGAAGCAAGATAAGCGTTAAAAGATAGCTGATATCGGTGAGCTCCTGCAGAATGATAGAGGCGTTTATTGAATTTATACCAGTATTTATATATATAATCATTGAGTGTAAGTTCTTTAGTAAGCGTGTATACCGTTAAATCATCCTATAGATTCAAATTATAAGTTAGACGAAGTCTGGTACAGTATGTGTATTCCATTAGTCTTTATAGAATTTCACTATAAAAAAAAATAAACACGAAAATAGCCAAATTATGTGTAGTAGAGCATATGCAAAAAATACTCTCCTTCTTAGCTAAATAGGAGAGACTGGTATTTTTTTAAATAGAATGTGAAGAGCATGATATATTTTTATAAGTTTCTTTAACTGATCTTCAATGTAAACTCTGTAGCCAAGCTTCGAATATATTTCGACTCACAAATATTTGAAGCATTTAACAAAATATATTTTACAATTTTTATATTGGACTTTAGAATAGGACAGAGCAACAATGTCATATACTAGTAGCGCTTTTGTTTTATTGACGTTAGTTAGAATTTGCCATTTTGATTCACCAATTTTAGGCACAATAACACTGTCGTATTATAAAGTAAATGGATCTACTTTTCAATGTGTTCACTATTTTAACAATTAAATGACTCGGTCACGAGACGCTTTTATTTTACTTTATAATACGAAAAATACACAAATGCATATTTTTTTTGTCCATATTAAATAGAATATTCTTGTCATATATTTAAATAGTTGAATATATATCTGATTATGTCGACGTTTATATAATGTCTAGAAACAAACTTTTACTGTCGTTTAATACGTAATTAGGTTAAAAATAAAAAAAATTCTAGTTTTTCGAAACGAACTAATCATCTATATGGAAGACTTGAAAAGAATTCAATTGTTTTTATTTTTAATATATGAATCAATTCGATTTTGTCAATTTATAAGAGTTGTTGAAGTTTGAACTGTTTATTCGATATAACCTTTTTATTGCCATGTTTTTTCTTTATTTTTGGCTACTTTCTTAGATAAATTCATGGATTTTATACAAAACTATCGTATCGTGTATATAAAATAAATGAACTATTATCATTACATGTTATCTATCAATTTTTATATACAAATATTTTTTATATGTTGAAAATATATTTATCAATTCATTTATTAACAACTTATTGAGGCATACACTTCTTAGACTATCCAATGTTTCTAATTCTAAAATCATTCTTTGGAGGTATTTTTACTATTTTCAATACTATAGTTTGTTTGTACTAGATTTATGAATAATACTCATTATTTTTTGACTTATTACAATAATAAACAAAATAATAAAATGATTGATTTTATATATTTGATCTGTTTTTTATTGATTACACCTACTAATATTCATTGATCATATACACCATCTCATTTCAACAATTAATAGATACTGTGAGAAACTCTTCTTTTCTTCAACAAAATATATTTAAGCTTATTTTTATTTGAATATCATATATCCTATTCTAAATATTATAACAATTAAAATGTTTGATGATGGATAATTTGAAGCTTTGAAAGGCGGTGCAAGCTATCGACACAATGTAGAAAGGAACTGAACTCTTTTCATTAGTTTAAGTACATCAATTCTAACTTTTTCAGCTATCTACATTCGTCAAGTATTACAGAAAAAGACTAAAGTATATTCAAATGAATTGAAACTACAAACTTACTTATCTTGCTTGTCTTTTGTACAGTAGAATAGAAATATGTAATATGAAGAGTTTTTTATAATTACACTTTCTTTTCGGTGTTATTCAACTAGAAGGAAATCATTTGTACTTACTTATTTCTGTATTGTGTTTTTGGCACTACTTTTTTTTTTATTAATCTTTTATTTTTCACTTATTATGTTCTTTTCATTAATTTAATTCTTATCTTAATAAAATGATAGTCAAATTAATAGAAAATCTCCAATATATTTAAAAAAATTTTATTCTATGTTGATTTGAAAAAGATAATCACTATCTTTCTTTAATTTTATTTGAGGAGAAAAAGTAATATATACGAATAAAACAAGAACTTGACTTTATGTTTTATTTTTTTTAAATAGATCAAATGGCAAGTTAAAATTCCTTTGTGTATTTATGAAAAATAATTAAATTGAATAGAAACTCTTAGACTCGATTAAAAGCGTTTTTGTGAACAAGAAGATGACGCTATCTATTGTTTTATTTTTTCTAAGTTTATTTATCTTAAAGAATTAATGAAATAAATAAAAGGATTTGTCTTAATTTTAACTTAATAAATCAATTAGAATTTCATAATGATTATCTTCTTTTACTGAATAGAAAAGAACAAAGATAATTGATAAATACAACTCAAATCAAGTGAGTTATGTTTTATTCAAATAGAATGAAAAAAAGAATAATTTAAAGATTTGAGTTGAATTTGTTTCTATTAATTGATGAAGAGTTGTGTTTTTATCACTTAAAATATAATAATCAATGAATTCATTTCAAAAGAACAAACAAAAATTTGATGATTAATTGAATATTTTTAAAATATTCTTAGGATATTTGACATTAAAAGAAATTTTTCATTAATCGTTCAACATTCTAAGCATGAATATCTTCTTTTAATATTCAGCCATGTTATCAATTTTATTCTGAATGATTATTTGTGCTCTCTTCCATAACAAAAGATTAATACTTCAATATTTATTTCTGTTTTTCTTCTTATAAGAAATAAATATGATGATTATGAATTGATGACTTTATTTAAGAATATTATATAAAAAAAAGAAAGTTTTTTTTAAAATAAATAAACTAAGTAAGTACAATCATTGAATATCATTTAATAAGAATTCATTTTACGAAATTGGGGAATGATGAACGAGAGAAAAGAAAAGAGAATGATTTGCATATAGCACGAGTGAGTAATGAACGTATATGACGCGATACGGGTTCATTATCTGTGCAATGAGAATTTTTTTTCATATTGCCATGTATTGTACCATTGAAAATTACTAAATTTTTTTTATTTATGGTCAGAGATACTCAGTCGACATCTTAACGAACTAGAATTATATGTCTGATTTTAATAATAAAAAATAACAATTGAGTAAAAGTTATATTTGAAATAAAAGAACTTGATTGTTTATTTTCAATCAATTAAAGAAGACATGGACTATTTCATTTTTTGTTAATATCATTCGTTCTGATAACATTCACTTGCTATCTCATTATTTAATTTTCGGCTGCCAACTAGAGCTCCACATGACCACTGTCAATGAAGATAATCACGGTCACGGTTAAGATCACGGTCGAGATCGTAGCTGATATTTTTTTTTAAAAGTTCGTGACCGTGACATGATTATAAGTGAAAGCTAGTCACGTCGTATTTTATTCCCTGCTGTGTTTATATACTTATGAATGATCACTTGCGAAAGAAAAAAAAACATTACCGTTCTCACTGCGATAACAATTGACATTTTCTAAAGTTATTTTTCATTACCTCATTTGAACAAAAATATCATCTATATATAAGTTGCATATCTATCTTAGAGTTATCATTCTACCAAATAATCTCATTCGAATAAGTTGATCAAATATGTACCTTTAACAGTTTTATCGATAATTATTTACTCAGAAATTGCAGATATCTGTTATTATTCTCTTCTTTTTCATGAACTACTCATCATTATTTTTAGTTTTCAACAAAATATCTACATGGATCGCGTGTTAAATTTTGATGAATCATTGTCTGATTCTATATTGCTCGACGCTCAACAGGTACGAGGATTGAACTTTTTTTTTACCGCTTTAATACGGTTGTGTTCACACTAAAGACAAGCAGAACGAAAAAAAAGATAGACATGTGATATGATAGATATAGAGCCAATATAGAGGATCGTTCGTGTGTAATAGACTAGATCATACATATACAGCTGATTGAGCATGACTGAACGCAAGAATGAGTGACTTTTCTCTATGTTCGTATACAGAAGGCAAGATTTGTCGGTATCTAAGAGATCAAATAACAATATAAAAATCTGTTTCTTATAAATAGCGTCCTAGTGTTATTTTTCACACATCTCGACGATAATCATTTTATACAAAAAAGTCATAAACTATTCTCTTTTAGATGTTTATTGACTCTGCTGTAAATGAAAATTTATGTTCTGAAATACAAAATTCTGACTCAATATTGGAAAACTCTACAACAGGTCGATGCACATTAAAAAGATTTAAAACTAATCGAAGTGAAAGTGTGATTAAAGTAGATGATAATCGACTAAATCGAATGAATTTCTTTTTAAAAAATATCATAACAACAAAAACATATCTCGATGTATTCCTTTTTATTGCGGGTTTATTTCCTTTTGTTCAACAGAACGTCGAAAATCGTTCAGCAAAGATTCGATACTTGTGCGTTGCAGGTAATTTCTTTTTCCTGTTTGAAATATTATCTTTTTAAAACATATATTATAGACACATCAACCTCATCAAATCAAAATTCTGTTTCCATTCATCTTTGTTTCGAAAGGAAAGTCAATTTTAAACACAATTTTCTAAATGATCTTTTTCCAGGTAAAAATTGGAAACTAACATATCTTATATGAATGTTTTTTATTTAATAGCGTTGAAACACATAGATTACATGTATATAACAAATGGTGATCAATATAACATAGAAATAAAACAATTAGCTAATGAAAAATATGTTGAATCATGTTTATATATGATAAAGACGGTAAAAAAAGAGAAGTTTGCGCTGAAAGATAAGTATCTTGAGAAACGAAACGACGTTGCTCGTAATGCATTAAAAGCAGAAACTGTTCAAGAAGGTTTGATTATTTTTTTTACACAGATTTTTCTATAGTAGATGTCTATTTTATAGGTGCTAATATATTGAAAAATGATTTTCCATGGGAGTATATAGTGCATGGCGATAAAATGAGAGGTAATGTTGAATATGAACTTCGTGAAGCGAAAAAGCAGAAATTAATTGATTATAAACCAATGTATGATCCAATAACTTTTAAGTAAATATCTTTTACAAATAATTTTTGCAATCTACGATTGTTTCACAGAATTCCAGACGAACATAGAGAACAAATTCAAGAATGGTTAGATAATGACTTTCGAAAACGTATTAAGGGTGAGATAACTAGATCGAGATGTTTATTTTTGAATGGACCAACACAACACGGTATGAGCTTGAATTTTATTGTATTAAATATGTTCAAATATTATGTAGGCAAAACATCATGGGCAAGAAGTTTAGGAAAGCATTGCAGTTTTGTCCTCAACTTCTCTTTAAAGGTTTGATATTTATTTTTTTCTGTTAAATAAAACAATATTTTTATTAAGGAGTGGCGTGATGATGTAGATTATATCATCCTTGATGATATTCTCTGGAAAGATATTTTTCCAATAGCAAAAGGTCTGCTTATTGCACCTGGAGAAATAATTATTACGGGTCAGATTTTACCATAGTTTCAATTTTTAAACGGATGTTTTCTTTTTTTATAGATAAGTATATGGCCAAAATGAATCTCAACAACAACAAACCGTGTATCGTTTGTATAAATGATAATGAAGCAAAGGTTATATTAGATTCGGACACAGACGACTACTGGAAAGACAATGGTGTATGGATACACTTAAAACGTGGGCAAAAAATGTTTTAATGAAACAAATGCTGGTGTTAGACGTTATTAAGAAATCTAGTAGATTTTTTTCTTTTTTCATGTATCTGTAGAGTTAAACGTGAATCTATTATATTATTGTGTCAATAGTTGTTCGTTTTTTGCTATATATATAGCTATTCATGAATCTATTATGTTATTATTTCGTTTGTTCTTTGTTTTGTGTTATATATTATAAAGTCGTCATAATATCTGAATAAACTCATTTATTTGATGATACATGTGTATCTAATAACCTACTCCAACGATATTAATTTAATTAGCTTAGTTCTATTACTATTCAAGCTGTTAATATCTTGATGATCCTATTATGTGAAAAGAATACAACTATATTTAATTTTTATTCATTTTTATCAGAAAAAATCAGATTAATTATATTCATTCAAAATTTAATAGAGCGAAATGTATATGTTTAAATCATTTGCGTCAGTTTTTAATATAACTAAATGATATTCTTGCCTATATTAAAATTTAATAAGGAACTTAAATAAAATAAATTGCATTTAGAGCACCGAATAAAGAACTACTTTCTCTTTAATCTTAAAATAAAATTAGATGAATAATTACAACCACGAATTACTTTTTTACAAATAGAGTAAACTATTTGAATTTCTTTGAGTAATACGACATGCTGCTACAATATTATATACATATATACGTATATATCTAATATATTTAAATAAATGTTTATTAACTATTGATCATTATTTATTCATTTAGAGCGTTGTATTACAAAACGATAGAGTTTTCTTTTCTTTGTTTCAAATATCTTCAAATTTATCTTGTTCAACACATTTGTTCCCAATCAAATAGAAAAAAATAGATGTCCTCACATTTTTCATGATAGATTTTATTCGATTGAATATATTGATGAACAATTTTATTCAATTGAATACTCTAACAGTTAATAATATTGTTATTCAGAAAATATTGTAATGAGATCGCGTTTTTTATTATATCTATATAATATTTTATGATTTTCATATCACATATAATTACTTTCATCGTCATTTCACCTTATTACATTCATCCTAAAGTTGTTCAATTGAATGTGAAACATGTTGACTTCGTAAATAAGATTCATTTTCAGTTTCGAATGGATTTAAAAAATTGCGAAGAGGTGATTTCAAAAAAAGTTGTACAAGTTTTATTATATAACTTCCTTTTTTTCATGTCTGTTACTTTTACATATCATTGTACGAAAAAATCAAGTCTTCAATAACTTATACATACTAATTGATCGAGTTAGATAAGAAAGCACAAGGAGACAAATACTGCTGCTGTCATATCTTGAGAAAGAATCAAATATTTTCGTGAAATATTAATAAAAAATCATTTTTTATTCACATAGCTGAACAATACAAAGCGCCTTGTTAGTTTTTATTAAGTCTTTCTAATCATAGAAAAAATGTTAAATCATATTGATGTTTGTCGTCCAGTACAATCTACATTATTGACACGTTTTATAACGATAAATAAATTGGAATTATTCCGAACAAAAAAAGAAGATTATGGAGCTTTTTATTATCCGAAGAATTCTCAAGACTACGTACCGGATAATTTAAAAGCTAATAATCATTGTCGTTATAATCGTTTTCAAGATTGATTTTTATATCAAACAAAATGTCAATCATTATCCCCAATAAATTCTAATAATAATAATAACCAAAGACTTTTCCCATCAAATCAAACTGAAACAGTCCGAATAACTCATCAAAATAAAATTCTTTTAAAATGTAATTGTCATTTAAACGGAAATGGATTAGTAAGATAATTAATAAATCAATCCGTTTTTGCATCATTATTATTTAGATGAAGAAGATTTTATGAACTTTTTTTTATTTTTTACTTTAAGTTCCGTTTTACATTTAATTTGAATATCAAAATAAGGAGAGCCTTTGAGAAAAGTTTAAGATGTGTCACTCACATGAACTCCTCCACGCTTAATGAACAATATTTTTAAAAAGTAATATTCGCCAATCTTTATCTCCATATATATATATTGTTTGTTAATTCAAATCTCGCCTGTTCATTCATTTCTCATCATCGCTATCGTCATTGTTCATTTAATGCTTGGGTGTGATTTTGTTTATCTTAAACTAATGAATAATTATCTTTCTCATATAGATATACGAAAGATATTTTTTCTAACAGTTTATATATAGACAATACTTAGAAAAAATAATCATGAATTTTTCATTTTTTGTTCTCTATGCATAATAATATTTCTTCGATTGCATTCTATAAACACATAATGTATGATTAGTGAACAGTAACACTTGAAATAAAGAATAAAAAAAAAAGAGAGCATTGCATCAATGTATACTCAAAATATTAAGATCAAAATATGTGATTGAACAGATCAGAGCGACTCAAATTTCATTACATCGTTGTAAAATAATGTAGGAAGGGATTAACCGTAATAATTAAAGAAGAAAAAGCAGGCAATAGTAAATAATAAATAGTGTCACTGTCAATAAGTAAAGATTGTTGATGAAAGAAGAAAACTTTCAATTTGAATATAAGATTATTAAACATAATGTGCAAATTATCTAGATATTATTCGTAAATAAAAAGGGATTTGTACTTTTATTCAAAAACAATTAAGTTATCTATATCGACCTAAATAAAAAAATACTTTCGAATTATCTACATACAGGTAGATATTAGTTTGTCACGCATCTGTACATTTCATGCGTTGATCACTTGGATGTGGATGAATGAACGATGATTATAATAAAATAATCTTTGGCTTCCTGTCGTTCGTTTTGTGTTGTCAATAATTGCCCACCACCCATTTTTTTGATAGTTTGATGAAAATCATAAGCAACCATCGAATGTATACATGTACGTGAGTAAAAGAAGCTGTGGCCGAAAAGATAATGAGATTAAAAATTCATTTTTATTCGGAGTAACTCATCATCATATTCATTAAATGATTGCCATCGTGTAAACTTCTCTCTCTCGTTCTTTCCAGTAATATAAGCGAGTCTGTTAACAGGCTCTTCCCACGATAGTAGCCAGATCTTGCCTCTCTATCTGCAAATTAAAACTCGTCGATCACTTCTCTTCTTCTTTTTTTTCTCACTCTCTTTTCATATTGATTGATTTACTGCTATTCAATTCTTTTTTTTTCGACTGATGTGTGAATATATATATATATATGTATGTTCGTTCTCTATTTTTTCCTCTTCTTTACTATGTATAGCTGCTACGTATCCTCGTTACTATACGTGTCCACTTGTTGATCGTTATCTTCTTCCGTCATTAAACATTCACAAACACTTGGTCGATGATGATGATGATGATTATTATTATTATCAATAACATATTGTAGGTCAATATCCAAACGAGGAACTATACTGAATAAACGAATAAAGCAATTTCACACTTCGAAAGTGGTCTCATACAAACGGTCAATTATTCGAACGGTTTCTTTTTTTATATTCTATTTTAATAACAGGAAAAGGCAGTTGATATGCAAGTAAGTGTATTTCGTTTATATTCATGTTATACGATAAGAGATGAATTTGAACAGCTGATGATAAAATTTTTCTTAGCAATGATTTTGACTTATGTACAAATGTGATTGATATCTATGCTCTCTCTCACGTTTCACGTTTCACAAGCAATCTATAACTATAGCTATATATATATATGTGAATTACTGACATTTATATAGGATTGTTAAATTGAAAAAAAAAAATGAGAAGTAAAAAATGTTTACATATGTGAAAGTATATGATCTTTCATTTGTTGTTCAATTAAGATAGACCATTGCATCAGAAATTTTTTCCTCTGCTGATTCTGAATAACTGATAATAGATTGTGTAGTTATCAATCCTAAATGATGGAGTATATTCTATGAACTTCTCATCATATTGATTACTCTTACTTTATTACGATTTCATATGCTAATTAAAAATTCTAATTGTTCCATTGAACACCTGTATTTATTATTCTAAAAGAATACAATTATATTAACATGTAGTTGATTATCTCAATACGTCCTCGTTTGAAAATAGACTATTTTTATTATATATTTTAGATTCTTCTTAATTTTCAAATGAATCAATTTATTCTTCTTGTCTTATTGTTTTTTACCGAACATATAATTGCACATGGTATGTATTCTTTGACAAAAGAAAAAAAAACGATTTAGATTTGTCTTAAAATATTGATAATTGAGTTGTTTATTATCAAGTTAGTTGAACAAATGTCTGTTACAATGTATCTTGATAAAAAGTTCAAAGTGTTCATTCAAAATTAACATAGTTATTCTAATTGCTCGATAAGACTGAGAAATCAACAAAAAGTTGAATTTTTATTACATTTTTATCAGTTGTCGTGATGATAGTTTGCACTGAATATCTCTCGTAAATCATGTGTCAAAAAGAAACAAAAAAATATTGGCTTATTTATTTCTGAGAAGTTTTTATCATAAAAGCTAATATAAATGTTTTCTTTTAGGTCCACCGACCCTTTTACCAGATACGACTAATTTCAACACATTCGATATAAATGAAAATGATCCTATTGAATTACAATGTCCAGTTACTAATAGTCCTGATTTATCTATTCAGTGGTCAAAAAATAACGAAGATTTAGATCCAATGTGGTCATCTTCATCAAATTTAGTTATCAAACGATTTTTATTAAAAATACGACAAGCACATTTAACTGATGCTGGTTTGTATAAATGTGATGTTGTCAATGGATTTGGTAGTATACAAGTACAATTTCGAATAAATATTAAATGTAAGTAGTCTTAATATATTCGTGTGTAATGAATTAATTAGACAATATACTTTTCTATAATAGCAGATGGAGCAATATCAACTAATGTTGATAACAATGAACCACAAAATGTAATGCCATGGGAAGCAGATTCATTACATGGAGGTATACTTATTTATATTAATTGAATTCTTTTAATTTTTTTCTTCTAGAACCACCAGAATTTGTTTCGCGAAGTGATGATGATCAAACAGGACCGACTAAAGTTATTCAACCAGAAGGTACAACTGTACGATTGAAATGTTTAGCATCTGGTAAACCATTACTAGAAATACGATGGAAAAAAAATGGTAAAATATTATCAGAAGATGAATATGGTGTTACACAGTAAATTATAATTATTTTTTTGTTTTTACTTCATTAAATCATATTGTGTTTTTTGTTTTGTAGAAGTCAGATATTAATTATCAAAAATTTACGACAGTCAGATGCGGGTAGTTAATGTTATTGATAATCATTATGGTAAGAAAGAAGAAGAGAATAAGTTTTAAGAAAACTTACACAAGTCATTAGAGGACATGATTCTTTGATAGACTTATTCGTAATATAATCAATATAAAAAAGAATTTTTATCAAACTAAGTTATTTTGTTTAAAACATAAGATCCGTTGTATACCAACTCTCACTTTGGTGACTGTGTAGTATTTTAACAATAAGTGACATAGACTAGAAATATCTTCGTTATGAACGGAGCATTGTGATATTTTTATCGATACTTGTCGATTATAATATAATTTAGTTTTTTTGATATTCTTTTACCATACCTGCATGAAAAGATGAATTTTGTTTTTGTTTTAGGTGTAACATCTTCAACAAATCTTAATAATCATTTACTTTATGTGATTATCGTAGCTCTTTGTGTACTTGTTGTTATTCTATTTTTTCTCTTTTGTTATCGTCATCGTCGTCGAAAAACGAATCATCATCATAGCCAACATTCACATTCCACCGATGGTATAAAATTCTCTATAAAACCTCGACAACCTCTAACACATCATAATGGTCCTATGGTTCCATCGACAACCGCTCGAACAAGTAATAATTATATTGCGAATACTGTTGATTCAGTACCAATTACGAGACAATATCAACAGCAACGACCTATACCTACTCTCTCATCGGATCTTACATCACCTGCGAAATCTAGTTTGTATTATGCACGAGTACAAGCTTTTTAAATCATACCCTTAACAGTGACATAATAGCAACTTTGGCTTTTCTAGAGAAACGATAATAATCTATGGAGTTTGTCTTTTCGATTGTAAAATAAGAGATCTTCGCTACTTTTTGTGTTTATTTGACTAATATATTGTATATTTATAAAAGAAATATAAAAAAACTATTTACATTTATTACATTGAACAATATTTATACATTCAATAGATGATGTAAAGATAAATATTTGCGTTATAGTAGAAAAAGTTAAATAACAGAAAAATGATAATATGCTGGTTTTTGTGATGTAGATCAAATCTGACTAAATTGTGTAGAAGCTATACTAAAGAATCGGAATCATTTTTTTCTTTAAATAAAAGATTGTTTATTGAGGTACACTTTGTTACAGTAAATCCTACACTACATCTTAAATTTGGTTGACTCACTACGTATTGAGATATAGATCTTGCTCACATCTACTAAATAGAAAAAGCAATTGCTTTCGATGATATATCGTAATAAAATAATATCTTTTGGTGCTTGGTAGTTTTTTCTTCTCTTTTATTGAATCATCACAAAATGGTCTTGAACCGGCTATAGAATTCATCTATTTTTTCTGTTGAATATCAACTTGTTCAACATTATTTATCAGTAAAATCCATTCAAGAAAGACTTTGCACAAGTAAAAACTCTGAGTCAAAGATTTGTTGGTATCAATAAAGAAATTTATTCATAAAAAGTATTGATCATCATTTATTTCACCAGTATCAAGTAAAGATAATAATGAACATTTAATAATTCTTCATTATTGATGTAGTATTAAATATTTGAAAATGTAAAACAAGGAGTGAACATTTATATACTCAATTTGATTCATTTTTTAATTAAAGAGGAGAATACATCTACAAGAAAATGTATGCATACATTCTTTTCTTCAATATAGATCAACAAGATAACTATGAATGTATCAAAATACATCGTAAAATAAGATTGATTTGAATTAAAGCCAAATATAAAGATTTCATTGTAAAAAGAAAAAAAACAAAAGAAAACTCTCTGTTTTAGAAGCAGCGTTCTAGCGTCCTTAACATCAACATGAACAGGACGCTAGGACGCTGTCATATATTGGAGAGAAGTTTA